TCAGTGAGGATGACTCTGGATGAGTGTGACTCTGAGAGTCTAGTCTGGGTAGGTATATGCGTGTGTGGGGACTCACTGGGGAGTGCGGGAAAGGGATGGGGCTTACGATACAGTTGGGGCAGTACTGTCAGCCATGGGTCTGGCTTGGCGAGTGTAGTACCTGCTCTGATGGCGTAGGAAGGCTCAGCGCGCCGGCCCTACTGGCAGGACCTAATCCTCGCAATTCCCCAGTAGCCTCCCCCACCCCCCCTTGGGGAAAGGGTTTGTGCCTCCCCTTTATGGTAGACCCACCCAATGATGCTTAGGAGAAAGCGAAGGGATACATTAGGTGGATAGATATATTGATTGATTGATTGATTTATTGATTGATTGTTGATTGATTGGTTGACCATCAAATAGTTAGGTCGGTAGGAAGGTAGGTAGACAGGTAGGTACATAGACATTTAGATAGATTAGACAGACTAGATAGATATGTAGATCAGATTAATAGGTAGGTAGGTAGGTAGGGAGGGAGGGAGGGAGGGAGGGGGAGAGAGAGGGGGGCACACACACACACACACACACACGCACGCACACACACAGAGAGAGAGAGAGAGAGAGAGAGAGAGAGAGAGAGAGAGAGAGAGAGAGAGAGAGAGAGAGAGATTAACAGAAAACAACCAGGGGCAGGGTTGCACAAGCAGGGGGAGTAATGGCATGTGCGGCCTCTTTTTTTTTTTTTNTTTTTTTTTTTTTTTTTTTTTTTTTTTTTTTAAAAACAAGTTCCATTTTATTGGCGGGGAGCTGCACCTGCTGGAAAACGGGTCCAGCGTCCTTTATACAAAAAAATAGTTTGAGAGATAAAACTGAGAGAAAGGAAGCACAGTGACTGCATCTTCAGCCCACTCCATGTGCGGCCACTGTGGGATATCTAGGTAAAAAGAAAAAGAAAAAGAAATAAATAAAGCTCCCGAAGTTTCATCAATAGTCGTTCTTCAGAATCTCTGCTCGACCATCACACTGAGGGAATACTCACACCTGCACTTTCCTCAACGTATCTGGCCGCAGTTAGGGCCAAACTGGATGAATCTGACCTCAATCACGTCCAGAGCTCTATGTAGCTTGATGGTCTTTTTGTCCTTCCGTTCTCCACGGTACACAACTTCTTAGTCAGTCCCTTGCTTTCCCCGAGGGGGAAACTGTATAGGACGGTTTGTTGGAAGTGTCAATTCTCATTCCCTTTTTTTTTTTTTTTTTTTTTAATTATTTACCATTTTTCTTGCTTAAGATTAGCTTATATTTTACTGACACAAACAATCACGAAAAGCAACATGTGCGAATTTCGTCGTCGAACTCCGTCACAGCTTAACGCCAACACGGCTTATTCAACAATTGGCAACAACATATCAACTAGCTTCATCCGATAGTTCGCAGTGGTAGCGAATTAGCGTGTTCAACCTCAAGCTTCACCTCCTCACTTCTACCCGAAAGAGCAAACCTTCTACCCTCTCTTCCATGTCTGGTTCCGTCGGTCATGACCGACGACCAATTCCAACTCGTTGCCAAAGAGGATTATTACCTCTATTCGAACTACCTATATACTAGCATCTATCACACACCCTCCCACATTTGAAAACAGCAAACGAAAACACGCGACGAAAACAAAAGCGAAACTTCGAGTACAAACGCGAAAACAGACTACAGACTCTACCCGCCCAAACGCACCATTGCGGTTCCCGCCAGAATTGCAGGAAAACTAAGACAAGCGCAGTAGCGCTGCGGCCAGTTTCCAGATATCGCCCCGCTTCTTCGCGAAGCTATCCAGAATCTGTCCGAAAAACTCGTCCGGGAATCCCTTAGCCCAGTACTCTCTCCTCATCAGCAGAACCTGGACAGGAATCCCGGTCCGTTCGGTCGTATTTCTGTCGGGCCTGTGCAAGGACCCGGTAATAGCAGCTACCTTTTGTCTGCGGCTTGCCCAGGACTTGAAATCCTGGCCGGTCCGGATCACCGAAGGCCTTTCAGACCAGATAGTCGCCTCGTTTTTTTTTTGTTTTTTTTTTTTCGTCGCCTCGTTTTTAACCACCTGCAGGCTCCCCAAATACGGGAAACTCTGTCTAACATTCAGCTGACAACCCACAAAAGCCCACGTCTCCCTTCCCTCATCGGTCCGTTTGAGTGTCAGGTTTCGGGGGTAGCACTCCTCAAATCTGTTTCGAATCTTCACAGCTTTCCCCCTCGACCTCTTGTCCCCCTTCCTATAGGCCACGAATAGGGACACATCGTCCACCAGTCGTACGCCAAAGACCAGCTTTTTGTCAGTACCCAAGGAGTCGAGAAAACGAGAGTGGGTTGCTATTGACCGTGCCAATTTTTGGGGTCAAGAGCAGCCCCCCTGATTTTTTTTTTTTTGGAGTCTTGGACGAATCAAAACTCTTGCCACTGTTGCCAGTGAAAAGAATTCCCCTCCTCATTTTTGAGCTCCTTATTAAAAAAAAAGAAAACACAGAAAGGATAAATAACATTAAGAGGCGCATCGAAAATCTTGCTGCAAAAAAAAATAATAATAATAATAAAAAAAAATCTTGCTGCCGTGCTATCTGCCAGACTGCCACCACGAACGGTCGTGCACTGTCACACTCGTCGTGCTCATCTTGCACGCTTATACCTTACCCAGCTGCTACCGTCTAAACCCGAATAGAACGCAAGGTCATTATATTTGTATATGGGGCAACTTTCCGTCCAAAAACAGCGATAATGACAGGGCGTACTCTTTGGGTGAAGAAGGTAGTGGAAGCGTGCCCCAGGTAGGACAAAAGGGGATAGAGCTATTTAAAAAAGAAAGAAGACAATGCCCCCCAGACCCAAAAACGAAAAGAATACCTTTCTCGGCCTTTTGGCTAAGATCAAGTGCAATGCATCTGTTCCGATCAGTTTAATATTATCTGATTATGTGGTCCATAGGGCCACAAAAAAAAAAAAAAAAAAAAAAAAAGCGAAAAGAAGGGAAAGGAAGCCAATATTATTAAAGTGTGAATTCGTGCACATGCTTTCGAAAAGATCAAACGTTCTTTGTCAAAGAAAATAAGCGGCTAGAAACTTTCTTTTTCTGGTTTTCAGCAAACACAAAAAGACTTTACAAACACCAGCTTGGGAAGCAGAGATTGCGGAGAGAAGGCAAAATCGTACTAAGTTCACAGCCAAACGTTCTCCATATCAATGGAAAGATACACAAGTCGAAAGCGGCGGTAAAAAACAAAGTGAGAGAGGAAACCAGAAAGGAAAAGGGAGAAACAAACAGAGAGAAAAGAAGACAGAGAAAAACGAAAGACAACTTGACACGATCCTGGCCTAGTCACAAATCCAAATTGTCATTTTTATAACGAACTTTGAAATTCGTCTTCTTCTTGATTACATTCTCTTTACTCGTCATCAAATTTTTTAACCTCGAGCTCTCTTCCCGTGGAGAGAGAGAGAGAGAGAGAGAGAGAGAGAGAGAGAGAGAGAGAGAGAGAGAGAGAGAGATCTTTACTCGTCATCAAATTTTCTACCCTCGAGCACTCTTCCAGTGGAGAGAGAGAGAGAGAGAGAGAGAGAGAGAGAGAGAGAGAGAGAGAGAGAGAGAGAGAGAGAGAGAGAGAGAGAGGAGGAGTATCAGCCAGCTCAAGACTTTATAACTTCTAACTTTTCGTAACTTCGTTCCTAATTTCCTAACTTGGAAATTTGAAGTGCTTAGCTGTCGAGATTTTCTCTGCTCAAATCGTTTTCACCGCTGCTGCTGGCGTTGCCACGTCAGCAAACCTTGTAAATTTTCAAAAGCAAAAGATAAGGAAAAGCAAAAAAGATAATTTTCGTCCTTTCCTGCTCCTCCTCCTCTCCTCCTCTCCTCCTCTCCTCCTCTCCTCCTCTCCTCCTCCGGGGCGATGCCCGCCCCAGTTGCCTGCCTGCATTGTCTAAGACTGACAGTCGATCTTCAGAATCTATGAACAGAAACGAAGAATGAATAGAAACGAAGAATCCGTCTAAGTGGGACCTCTCCCCCGGGAAGCAACCACGTGTCAATTAGCAATCCCAGCGCACACCGGACCACGAGGAATGTGACCGTACATAGCGTTCATGTTCATTCAAATCGACTAAAAATAGAAAGCCGTCGTTCGAATCATGATATCAGTGACACCCAGTTGGCGAATTCGACCTGAAGTTACGGTCAGATACAGGCCTTAGAATGGATGGAATACACGGCAACGCTAAGTACGACGTGATTGTAATCGGCGCGCAGTCCTTGAAGGGCAAGGCAACCCGGAGGAGGGCACAACACAATTATTTTATTGAGTAGCTAATTAAATTTACTCAATTATATTAACACTCGCTGCGGACTACAAAAAGTTTCGCTCTCCAAATTTCCAAAATGCCCCCCGCTCTCTATTAAAATGCTGGTTTAGAGTTCGAAGCTCGCTCAAAACTTGCATGTACATATACTGACGTAAATTTACCGAGGCTACCCCTTCTTCACTCAGATACAATGTACGGTCATTAAAATAATCATTATAGCTGTATTTGGTGTAGCTTTCTGCCTAAATACAGCAATAACGACCGTTCGTTGTATTCGGGGGAAGAAGGTAGTCCTCCTTCGAAGAAGCACAGGACC